ATTTTACTCCCAAGGTAAGTACCCTGCTTTTCCTCTCCCAAATCCCAGGTCATCCAGGTCTCTGTCACAAGAGGCATCAGGATCACTCAAGAGTCTCCCGGCCAGGCATCCTGCAGGCCTGGAAAGTCCTGGTGCAGTCTTGCCACATCCAGGCCACCGGCACCCTTTGAGAGCCTCCTCTTGGCTGACATCACTGATTGTGGTGTTTGTCCCCTAAGTGAAGGGGCTCTGGTGGCTCCATGGGTTAAGCAGTGGTCCATGGGCCAAGCCTACCAGCCACCCATGGGGAACGAAAGATGAGGCCATCTGCTGCCGTACAGATATAGTCTCCATATAGGGTTACACTCATAGCGATCCTATAGGACCGGGTAGAACTGGCCCGGTGGTGTTTGGAGGTAGCAACTCTCTACCGGAGTACAAAGCCCCTCGGAGCGGCTGGTGGTTTCAAACTGCTCGCCATCTGGGTAGCAGCTTAAGGCGTAACCCAGGAAGTACACCAGCAGGGCTCCTGCTACAGGGTCGCTAGGAGTGGGAGTCAACTCAACGGCAGTGAGTTTGGTTTTTTAAAACTATACAGGGTGAAGGGCAGGGGCGGGGGGGTGCTCCTGAAACCGTCACCAGCCTCCCCATCCTTCTCAGAACACAGCTCCAGGCAGCAGACAAGATGAAATGGTACCAATACAGACTTGGCCATCGTGTCTAACAGGGACCCCTGCAGGGAGGCGAGGCCGCCTGGTCCTTTCAGTACAAGGCTCAGGCTGGGTTGAGAGATGAAGATGCAGAACTGTGAGCAGGCCTTCGAGACAAAACGCCATTACCGTCTAGTCCACAGTGTGGCCCAGAGTGACGGTCTAGGACAGAGTGGAGCACCCGTGGGGTCCCCAGGCTGCTTCTTCCTGGACACAGCCTGCCACGCCGTTCTCCCGTGGAGCAGCGAGGGCTGCTCCCGTGGGCTGGCATCACTGATGTTCCGTTGTGCCACCAGGCGTCTTGGTCACCCGAACACCCACTGTCATGGAGTGGATGCTGACTCCTGGGTGCAAGTCTTTACAGGAGGGCGGCTAGTGGGCTTGAAAGGCATCCCTTGTGGTTAGCTGGCCAATGCTTGCCGAACGGCAGCACCCCTCCTTCTGGAAATTGAAAGGGGGAGGAACTTATGCCCCAGAGTAGGAAGGCCCAGCAGAGCTTCAGCAATGGTGTAAATGTTCTGGGTTCACACAGGGCAACAGGTAGCCACGGACCACATGCAGCCGTGGAACACGTGGAACGTGGTGAGTGCAACCAAGGAACTGACTTTCAAGTTTTCTTTCATTTGGGGAAAGTCAGGTTGACATGTAAGTAGCCACGTGTGACTAATGACGCTTGCGTTGGGCAGTGCATCTGTAAACCAGTGTTAGGGGCCCAACTATGTCCCCTTCGAGAGATAGGTTAAGCCCTAACCCCTAGAACTAGGTGTTCATTTGGGTTTTTCGAGGGCAGAGGAATTTTCTTTATGGGTCTCACTGTGGAGACCCCTTGATAAGCCAAGGAGGGGGGGCAAGAAATACCCCAGACTAGGGGACCTTGAAGAGACCAGGAAGCGTCTCCCCTAGAAGGGGGCGAGGTGGGGGGATGAGAGAAAAGCCTTGCTGACCCCAGTTTGGACTTCCAGCCACTAGAAGTGTGCGGGGAAATCACATTTCTGTTCCTTAACGTCACCACCCTGTGGCATTCTGCTACAGCACCTCTGTCTGGTGGTGCCAATGCTGCTGCCATGGCCACCACACTTGGAGAACCGCTGCCCTGAGTTGTATTCTGATTCCAGACAGACGTGGGATAAAAATCCTCCAGGTCTCGGGGCCTTCATTTCCTCTTCTTTAAACAAAATGACAGCCTGGACTTTGGAGACAGGCCGATTCAAATTCTGGCTTGACCTTGACCTGGAGCAGTTATTGAATCTCTCTCTTTCTTTCTCTGCTCCATCTGCAAAATGGAATGAAGAGTACCTACTACATAATTGATTTCAAAACAAAAGGTATCCCAGTATATGCCACTTAATATACGTTTTAAAGTCATTTCCTGTTCAGAAACGATCTTAAATAGGATGACGGACACAAACATGTGATTTGTGGTTTCCCTAGAAAGAAGCATTTTTAGGACGTAATTCTGTCAGGATTGCTTTGCCCCACCACATTAGCTATCTGGTGCCACGCGCACCCCAAATTGCTCAAAAATGTAAGGACCTGTCCCAGCAGTGTTTGTCATCCTTCGTCTCAGTGGCTGGGTGATCTGGGCAGGGCTTAGTCAGGGGCCTCTAGCTCAGGCATCTTCCCGGCGGCGATAGCCAGCAGTCCTCTGACACCAAGTGGCCCCGCCTCTCTTGCCTGCACTGACACAGCAAAGGAAGACCAAGGTCACCGATAAAGGTCGACTGTCTTAGGGATTTGGATTTGGGACATTGAAAATCGGAGTCTGTGGGTTGGTGGGACCTGAAGCTCGTGTCGAGATGAGCTGGGAGCAGTGGCCTGGCCGGTCAGCGTTCCATAAAAAGCAAAACGAAGCCATGCCCCTAAAGTTGATTCTGACTTGGGAACAGAGAACAGCTCCGTGGGATTTCTAAGACTGTGGATCTTTAAGGGAACAGACAGCATCCACCTTTCTCCTCGGGAGCTGCTGCTGGGGCTGGATGGCCTGGCAGCGAACCATCCAGCCCTGCACTGACTGCGCCGTCAGGGCTCTGTAGGGTTCCCTAGGGTGCGAGGATGTATTTTCAGAAAGAGTTGGGTGCCCAGACTGTGGGAGGAGGCTGCTTGAGCGGAATCATGATCCTCCGTAGTAGCTGTGCTATTTGCAGCACATGGCTTCCCCTCAAGGTGACTCCATTTCCTCATCTGCATAATGGGGAAACAAAGAGTACTTAACTAGTTGTGGGAGAGGGTAACATGAGGGACGCGGCCCTGAGCCTGGCCCCTGGCACCTACTCTGGCAATGCCAGCTGGCCTGTTCCAGAGGCCAGAAGGAAGCTGAGAAGAGCCACGGGGGAGCAGCTCCGGAGGACTGGCCAGGGCTTCCAGGGTTCGAGTTCAACCCACAGCAAGGAAGAGCGGATCCCAGGGAGGTCACGCCTAATGAAGATTGCACCGCGCACTGACTTGACCATTTAAAAATCGTACTCCAGTTTGTTTGGTAACTTTATTCTCTTTATTGCAAATCTCTGGAAAAGGACGCTGATTCAGACTCTGGCAATCAGAGGAGGCTGGAGCTGAGTGGCTGGCACCTGGGCCGCACACTGACTCAGCCCCAGGGGGAGCTGCAAGGGGTGGCCTTCATCCCACATTCTCGCCCGCAGCCCATCCCTCTGCGATGCAGATGTCAGTGGTCTGGGGTGTGGCCACAGCATCAATCGCTCTTTTTAACTCCCCACGTGGTTCCATTGTAAGGATGGCGCAGGACCACGCGGTGTTTGGTTCTGTTGTGCATGGGGTCGCTATGGGTCGTGCCAACGCGACGGCACCTAACATACACGTGGTTCCAATACATGACTGGGTGGAGAGTTCCTATGATACCTCATTGCAAGGGGTGGCGCATCAGAAGCCTCTGAGAAATTCAGTTGACAGCCAGGCATCACCGGCTCCGGTCGCCACCCCTGCCCCTGAGGCCAGAGTCAGGCTGCGTCCTGTCCTCTGTTCTCTGGCTGTGTGTGCTGCCACGTGCACTTCTGCTTCCTCCTCCAAGAAGACTCCCCTCCACCCCCCAGGCCCCACCCCCAGGAGAGAGAGTCCCGTGGAGGGGCAAGAAGGTGAGAACTGCACTCACATGGCATGCCAGCACAGAGCTGCTAGAGAGCCCTGGTTTTTTGTTTCCTTGGCTGACTGAAAAGATTCTTCCCATATGGCGATGAAAAGATACACGATGCCCCCCCCCCCCAAAAAAAAAGAAATATGTGTTAGATGGTATATTCCTAATCAAAGCTCTGAAATCCAATTTTCACATGATTTTTGTCCAGCCATCGAGGGTAAAAGATGTTGTACTTTAGCAGCATATTTTATGTGGGTGAACAGTAACAGCCAGTTAGATATTTCATTAATGATTTGTCCTAAAAATAGAAAACGCTTTTATTTTCCTGAGTCCTTGGCAAACAAACAAAAGGAAAGTGTTCTAATTTTATTTTTCTTTTAAGTCGTCCTGTTTTTCTTTTTCTTAGGGTGCCCTCACGGTTTCGAACAGCATGCCTCCCTCTCGGTTTGTACACACACAGTCAACAGGCAGCACCGGCGTCAGTTCTTCCAGACTAATGCAATGCGGCATCGGCAAGTCGGAATGGACGGGCATCACCCACAAAGTTGCTCCAGATGAAAGTTTCTCGACCACGTTCTAAATGCTGCACAATGCCATCCTGTGTCCTTACAAAGGGATGCATTGCTAACCCATTAATAATACTGGGCTACTCACATTTGAACAGTGAGAAAAAAGTGAGGACATTTAAAAACTACATAGGATCCCATCTTACATCCTAACTCCAGTGTATTATCAAGCCTTCTAGATTGCTCGCAGAACTTCTCTAGGGTACAGTGCATTGACAAGATAAAATGAAGGCACAAGAAGATAGTTACAATAGGTGTATAGAGACCCCTAGCACTTGGTGCCAATTTTGGAAACATTTAGAGAGGAGATCAGAAAGCCTGAAAAATTCTTACATCCCATCACGGTTAATGAACAATTAATTGTGCAAGAGACAAGCCGATATTCCATTCGTAAATATATGGCTCTCATCATCCAGGCTGCTAGCTATTTGAAAAATAGTTTTAAGTATTAAAACAGTCTTATCTAGGTGGTTGCTGCAAAGGGTGTGTCCCTGCAGTGTCCAGGTTGATTTCGAATCTATATGGCAGTTATCAATTCTTGAGACAATTTTCATGACATAAATTGTAAGTCCCCCCAGCTCCTCACTTACTCCCCCTACAAGAGACAGAGGGTCTACAGAGAGGTCACCAGTAGAAGAAATGCACAGAGAGCGAACATCAAATCCAAAGAAGTACTCCGTGGTTGGATTCTAACCAATCAGAGCCTTCGCTTACATTTAGGGCAAGGAGCAACATTCCTGTGACAACGCATTCGTTCTTTAATTAAACAAAACAAAAACCCAAACCATGACATTTTCAAAATAGAAACAGCATTGAGTAGAGCATCGAGCATTAAAAGGGAAAATTCAGTCTTTTCATTCATAAAATGAAGGGGATAAAGTCTTTCAAAATCCAAGGGCAAAAATTCTACCGGATTTAGATCATTGAAATAAAATGGCTTACAATGCATCTAATAGCTTCAAAGACAGGATCTTCAAGACTCGAGGTGCACATTCAGACCCGTGGACACACACGACTTGGCACATGCACGCCGTGGACAGAACGATCCAGGAAGCAGCGGCCTCCAGGGCTGCGGAGCTCCTGGTGCCCTTGGCGAAGCCTCCCTTTGGGTCCGTGTCCTGCCCCCCTTCACATGGGCGCTTCTGGCTTCTGCATCTGGTGGATTTGCTTCTGCAGCTGATCCCTGTCCAGCTTCATCTTGGCTTCAAGAACTTGCCTGAGGGAACTTAGGCTTTCATAGATGGCTGCAAACCCTTAAAGATGAGAAAATGTCAACGAATTACTGTTTTAAAACACCATGTGGAATTGGACTACAGGTAGTCATAATTGCTTCTGGCAAAAATGAACAGCAGATGGTATCATAGCTGGGGTACAGGTTTGATGGGGACTACAATACTTAAATACTTAGATCCCATGACCCAATAGGGTTACTTTTCAACGGCAAAGGGAAGAGTGGAACCATTATAATGGAGCAGTCTGGCTGGTGCCACTAAACTAGAACAGGGCAGAGCCAGCCTCAGGGTACCTCCCGAGGGCACTGCCCCACTTCTGTGGTGTTTCTGTCCAACACACACAACCAAAATTCTCAACAAGAGGAAGCAAGCACTCCCAAACAGAGTGGCAGTCTATAAATCACTGCCCTGTCACCTTGGAAAAAGGCCAGTCTCGGTGAGCAACTGCCACAAAATACAAAGACTAAAGGAAGACACAAGGGAGCCAAATGTGATCCCAACGCAAGATCGATCCTGAGCTGGGGAAGGTTTGCTATGAAATACTTGAAACAATTGGTTCAAGTTGAATATTGAAAAATAGTTCATGGATCATAGGAAGTCCTAAAAGGGCAAAGAGACATGACTTCTGTAACTTACTCCAAGTGATTCCAAACCAAACCAAACTCACTCTCATTGAGTCAGTTCTGACCCCGGGAACCTCTAGTGATTGAGGGGAATAGGGAGTAATTGGCACATACACACACAGAGGATGAGATGAAGCAAATAGATGTTAGCAACAGGGAAATTTAGGTGAGGGATATATAGGCTTTTAATTTCAAACTAAAAAAGAGTACCTACCAAAAAGCATTTCATAGCATTCTTTCTTCCAATTGTTGCTAAAATAAAGGTTTTTAAATGTCTCACTTTCATTAGTAAATTTAGAATTTTCTCTCAGGAAACTTTCTTGATGCGAAAGAACGTTTATGGAGAAAATGTGTAAAAATTGCTTGCTAAAAATAATGTTCTTACTGACATGGAAAGATACAACATAAAATGGAAAAAAACAAACCTACTGCCATTGAGTCGGTGCTGATTCGTTGCTGGGTTTCTGAGATTCAGCCTACACGGGAGCAAACAGCCTCAGATTCCTGCTGGAGCCGCTGGTTGGCTTAAACTGCCAGCCTTGGGTCACCAGCCTCATGCTTCATGCACCTCCACTATGATATTAAGTTTACAGAGCGGATTGTAAGCCAGTAGTGTGACCCTTACATATCCTCTAGGATTGGAAATCGATGTATCAAATGATTTCTACAAGAGAGGAATTATGCCTTTTTAAAATACCCTATATTTTTTACTCTCTGTTAAGAAATGTATTGGCTTTTTTTAAAGAAGAAAATAAATGCTTTTTACTTTTTAAAAGTCTCATGCACATTTCTTATTGTGGTACTAAATATTAACAATCTCAATGGTATGCTGACGACATGACAATCAATTCGGTCAGAAAATGATGCAAGGCTAAAGGAAGCACTCAAATATCATATTCAAATAGCATCTTCCAGAAAATCTCGGAAGCAGGAAAAACCCCTAAAATCTCTCATTTAATCATAACTTCTACTTAAATACAATAAAATTTTGGTGGAAATAACAAAATTATTCTTGGGATAACTAGCTACTTCTACTTCCATGTGGCTCAAATGGAATAATTCCACATACGGGAATTTCCAGAAACACAGCACTCGAAGGGGATAGGCAATCGTTTAGTCTGACCGATCACACCGGAAAACTGTCTTCTCTTCCCTGACCATGCCCAAGGCTACTGTCCACTTGCAGGCTTTCAGGAATACAAGAGTGGTCCAAATCACAAAGCCACTAGCCTCATTTTAGGACACATTATTTGCGAGATGTTTTCATCCAGCCACTTACTGGTGCCACGTCTCCATTCCTGAGCTCGGGATGTAAACCAAATCCCTCCTTTACAGGTACTGTAGAACATGAAGTCAGAGATAACCTGC